CTAATTTATTCTAGAACTTTCCAGTGTCCCTGCATTCCCTGCTGCTTTCCTAAGGATGCAACATGGTTCATGGAAGTAGCACAGGGATTTGGGCAGGATTTGTCGCTCACAAAGCTTGGACAAATCAGCCTTGGTCTCCTCAATTGTAGAACAGTGAGATTAATGCCTGCCTTACAAAGTTGTCAAAAATATAAAGAGTAGAAAGCATTTCCTACAGGGCCTAAAGTCTACCAAGCACTCATGAAGTCGTTTTTATTATAATCATTTAAATTTTATTCTTAAAAACTCCTTCAAATTATTACAAAACAAAGAGAAACAGTTGTTAATATCTATATTGGAACATTATTATAATGTTATATTATTATTATACTAGGGGCCCAGTGCATGAATTCATGCACCTTTGAAAAGAACTGTGGAATGGGAGGCTGTGGTAGGCACAGGGATGGGCCGCTCCCATGCACTAACAGTGCCAGCCCAGCTCGCACCCACGGAAAGCGCAGAGCAATTGGGGCCAGTGCTGTCAGTGGGTGTGAGCAGCAGCTGCTGCCCTGATCTCCCCTCAGGAGCAGGGGAAGGTGGAGAAACGCTGAGGGGCCAGCAGTTGCCACTCACATCCACTGATGCTGCCAAACCATCGGGCCGGTGCTGGGTGCTTTTAGTGCTGCTTCCCTCTGAGGGAGCCCCTTCTGTCAGCATTGCTCTTCCTCTTGTGGGCTGGCAGAGGACAGTGGAGCAGCCAACATATAAAACTACCGGCTAAAGATGGTGGTGAGTTTATGGCATCCTCAGCATTTCACATGCATGGAGTAGGAATTGGGGAGGTCATCACCATCAGAAAGGCTGCTGTTATTTTATCTTACAGCTGGTTTTTGTTTTTGTTTTTTTAATCTTACATATATTTTTATTGCTTTCAGAGAGGAAGGGAGAGGGAAAGAGAGATAGAAACATCAATGATGAGAGAGAATCATTGATCAGCTGCCTCCTGCATGCCCCACACTAGGGATTGAGCCAGCAACCGGGGCATGTGCCCTGACTGGGATTGAACTGTGACCTCCTGGTTCCTAGGTTGGAGCTCAACCACTGAGCCACACTGGCCAGGCTATCTTGATGCTGTTTTTAGAAGAAATCCCTTCCTTATAGTATGAATATTTCCTCAATAAAAACTATTTTAGATTATTTTTAAAAAGGAAACATAAAAGTTGTTCAATACTGCTAGGAATATTTACTGTTTGTCCCAGCTGAAACCTGAAAAGATATCTGAAAATGTCAGAAGTTGGCCATATTGGAAGCTGAAATTCTCATTTGATAAGAACTTTCTTTAAGGCCTTCTCTTTTAAGATAGGAATCTTTTCATTTTCTATCTAAGTTGGAAATCTCCCTGAGGTGAAGAAAATTGAAAAGAATGTAGTTGGATCAGCCCCTTCATATCATTTAGATTGCAACCCAGTTCTTTGAGGAATTAAAAATAACTGACTTGTCTTACAAATTGAGTCCCTTTTAAAAAATAGTTATTTTTAAAAAATTGATTTTAGAAAGAGGAAAGGAGAGAGAGAGAGAGAGAGAGAGAGAGAGAGAGAGAGAGAGAGAGAGAGAGAAGGACAGGCAAGCATCTATCTGTTGACTCCTGCCCAAAGCTAGGGCATGTGCCCTGACCTGGAATTGAACCAGTGACCTCAGTGCAATGGATCTCATGTAACACCCTTATGCCATCTCCTTTGATTCTAATGTATTATACAAAACAAGATGCACAACTGCCATTCTCCGGAACATTTTCTCAATCTGTTGAGAGTTTGCTTCCTGGCAATTGTTGTCGGTTTGGTTCAAATAAACTCATAAAAATTCTCTACAAGGTTTGGGCGTTTTCTTACGTCAACAGGAAAAACTCACATTTAGAAAAACATATACAGCTGACTTCCTCAAGGTAATGGCAAGTTCCTTCCCAGCTCTCAAGGTCTTTGGAGAAATGATTGCCTTTGAATTTATTTTTGGGTTGACAGGCAAGGTCATTGCTGCCTATTCGAAACCAACAGGAGTCCCTAATTTGGGGTGTGGTGAGAGGAGAGACTCTATTCAGTGAAAACAGTTCAATTGTGACACAGCTTGTGTAATAGCATGGCTGTGGAACCGCACAGCTGTGAACCAGCCCTGGTGAGCTAGCCCTGGCCAGGAGGCTTGCTGGTACAGCTGAGATTGGTATTGCAGCTCCTGTTGAAGAAATACAGTTGTAGATGGAATCTGAGAGTGTACTTCATTGAGACAGAGGTAAAGCTGGCTTATATAGAGGAGTGCCCCCCCCCCCAATGGCCCATTTCTATGCAAACCGGGACTCCAAATCGTCACTGTTTGGTCCAAATAGCACTGTTATTTATTTATTTGTTTATTTATTTATTTATTTATTTATTTATTTATTTAATAAATCCTTATTGTTCAGATTATTACAATTGTTTCTCCCCCCCCTCCACCTGGTCCCCACTCCACCCTCTGCCCTTACCTCCCCCTCCTATCCCCACTGTCCTCATCCATAGGTATATGATTTTTGTTCAGTCTCTTCCCGTACCCCCCACACAGACACCCCTTTCCCCCTGAGAATTATCAATCCCCTCCTATTTTATGTCCCTGATTCTATTATATTCACCAGTTTATTCTGTTCCTCGGATTTTTAATTCACTTGACTTTTAGATTCACTTGTTGATAGATATGTATTTGTTGTTCACAATTTTTTATCTTTACTGTTTTCTTCTTGTTTTTTTTAAAAAAATATATATATTTTACTGATTTTGTACAGAGGGGAAGGGAGAGAGATCTAGAGCTAGAAACATCGATGAGAGAGAGTCATCGATCAGCTGCCTCTTGCACACCCCTTACTGGGGATGTGCCCGCAACCAAGGTACATGCCCTTGACCGGAATCGAACCCGGGACCCTTCAGTCCCCAAGCCGACGCTCTATCCATTGAGCCAAACCGGTTGCGGCTACTGTTTTCTTCTTTTTCCTCTTTTTAAACAACACCTTTTAGCATTTCATATAATACTGGTTTGGTGGTGATGTACTCCATTAGCTTTTTCTGATCTGTGAAGCTCTTTATCTGCCCTTCAATTTTGAATGATAGCTTTGCTGGGTAGAGTAATCTGATTGGTAGGTAAATAAGCAGATAAAGATATAGCTGCACAGCCCTGATTGGCTGGGGTTGATTTGGGACTTTAGCAGCTAGGTTTCTAATGGCACAGAGGTAGGAACATAGTCCAACAGGCAGGCCGCTGGGTGCAGCTCTCCCCTAAAACTCAGCAATAATGAGTGACTTCTGCAAACAATGGCTGCTGGATTCTTGTTTTGAATTTGAGCCCAGTGAACCAGAGGAGACTTTTTTTTTTTGGCAGGCATGTTCTCAGGGTCAACAGGATATGTTTTGGACACAAAGGTCTATTCTCTGACATCTTAAGGGCAGTGTTTTGTTTCCATTTTCTCCATCATTTCCTTTGATGTCATTGGCCCAGTCAACTCTACGCTCTTTCAATTTGGAGTTTTCATTTGCTTGTTTTTCCTCCTTTCTCTTCTTTCAGTGGCCCATCATTTCCTATTTCTCTGTTGTTAGGAGTGTGGGGGCAATGGGGAGGAAAAAGTGTATGAACTCAGATCTGTAACTTTTTAAAAAAGGATTTCACTGAGGACACCTGAAGTTATGTCTCTTGAAGTTGTTTTGTTCTTGAAAAGTGAATCTTACACAAAGTAATTGTGCTTGCACACTAGCCTCTCCAGCCAGTCTTCCAATTGCATTCAGAGGCCACAGGCTAAGGGACTTCAGAGAATCAACCCTTGCATGTAAAGCACCAGGATTTGAAAAGCCAAGTGTGGTTATGTAAGTCGATAATTTAAGTAATGAAGCTTACACAATCATTTCTTTTTCCACTAAGATGAACACGGAGCGGGCTGTTTTAATTGTACAGTGAATGCAGGTGCAATGCAAATTCAAAACAAGTTTGAGGGCTAGTTTCTGTTAACCTGAGTCAACTGCTTGGTGATGAACACAGTTTTTCATTCTGCAGAATCCCGTGGGGCTTTTAGGTGAACTGGACCTTGTTCCTCTGTCTGATTCAAATACTAAAATGCTAAAAATTCATGTCCTCTGGAATAACCGGTGGCAGGTCAGCTCCTGGGCATTTCTCTGCCTCCCTTGGGCTATGGCAGGAAGCCTGTGGAGAGGGAGCGGATAAAGAGTTTCCAGTTCCCAGCAGGAGAATGCCAGAAAAAATTCCCACCCATTCGTGAGCCCTTGCCTCCTTAGAACAGGATGTTTGAAACAGGGTTTCTCTTAACTCTTTATAAAACCCTTTTTCTCAAGGGCTTAAATTCCGGCAGTGTTAAAAATGCCAACTGATTTTTGCTTTACACCACCAGGTGCCGAACTCCTCCCCTCCAGCCCTGAGCTTCTTTTAAACAAAATAACAATTACAAATAGGCATGGAAATTCTATCTAGCGCGGTGGTCAGCAAACTCATGAGTCAACAGAGCCAAATATTAACAGGACAACAATTGACATTTCTTTGGGGGGTCACATTTTTTAAACTTAAACTTCTTCTAACACCACTTCTGCAACATAGACTCGCCCAGGCCGTGGTATTTTGTGGAAGAGCCACCCTCAAGAGGCCAAAGAGCCGCGTGTGGCTCTCGAGCCGCAGTTTGCCCCACCGCGGATCTAGGGGGTTGAAGTGGGAAGCCAGGCTTGCAAGGGCAACGGACTACAACTCCCACAAGTCCTTGCGGGGCTGTACTCTACCTCCTCCGCCCCCTCCCCAGCCTCGCGGGTGCGCAGAAGGCCGTGCGGGGCGAGAGGGGGCGGGGCTGGGAGAACGTGCTCCGCCGAAGCCGAGAAGGTGGAGGAGGAGGAGGAGGTGGAGGCGGCAAAGAGACCATAGACTTCCACCGGGGCCTAGAGAGTCTCTTAAAGTAGCGGAGAGAGGAGGGCGGGCGGGGCCCCCCTTCCGTGCTGGCCGCCGGCGGTGTCATGGCGACCCGGAACCCCCCTCCCCAAGGTGAGCGGACCGGGCGCCCCACCGGCGACCTTGCTCCCGGCGCTCTCCCCTCCCGCCCCGGGCTCCGGGGCTCCTCTGTTTCCGTGAAGCAGCAGCTCCGAACCCCGGTCCGAACGAGACTTTCCCTCCTTTGTGGGCGGCACGCGGGGAGGGGCGCCCCCACAGCCCCCGCAGACGTGCCGCCCGCCTGACTCTGAAGTCGCCTCCTCCCGCCCGTGGTGCCCAGGGACCCTGCCCCGCCCTGCCCCCTGGATGTGGGGTGACCCCGATGCTGGGAAACGGGTCTGATCGGGCGGGGGCTCCCTCCTGGCCCTGTTGAGATTGGGGGCGGGGTGGGGGCAGCCCACACCGACCTGGTCCTGCTGAGACCTCGGGGCCGGGAGGGGGAGGGCGGAGCGAGCCCTCACTGCTGTGGGACCCCGGCCCGGCCCTGGCCTGCGCGGCCTGGGCCTTCGGGAGGGCGATGGGGGCGAGGCCCTTGGCTCTGGGGGCCCCAGACTCAGGGATCGGATGGATGAGCCTCTTAGTGTCTCCATCCGGGTATTTTTAACCGGAATCCGCAAGTAATGACAGGCCCTGCAAGGCATTCCTGGTCTGGGATTGCCCCTAAATGCGTTTTTCCCATTTCGTGTTTTGAAGACTACGAAAGCGATGATGACTCTTACGAAGTGTTGGATTTAACCGAGTACGCCAGGAGACACCACTGGTGGAACCGCGTGTTTGGCCACAGCTCTGGACCCATGGTAGAGAAATACTCGGTAGCCACCCAGATTGTCATGGGTGGCGTGACTGGCTGGTGAGAACATCCTTCTCTTTACATTTCCTGCGGGAGCCGCCGTGACCCCGGCAGTGACCCTGCTCACTGAGGGGCTCCGTGCGGAGGCTTCTCTCTGACATGATTGCCATAATCGTTGGTGGTGGGTTTTGGCGATCTGCCCTGTGCCCACCACTCTGCCACTGTGCCCTCCTCACCTTCCTTTGCTGCTTCTTTTTAAAATATATATATATATTTTATTGATTTCTTACAGAAAGGAAGGGAGAGGGATAGAAAGTTAGAAACATTGATGAGAGAGAATCATCAATCAGCTGCTTCTTGCACACCCCCTACGGGGGATGTACCACAATCAAGGTGCATACCCTTGACCGGAATTGAACCCGGGACCTTTCAGTCCACAGGCCGACGCTCTATCCACTGAGCCACACCGGTTTCGGCTTCCTTTGCTTCTTTCCGTATTTGCCTCCTTCTCATATTTAGCAAGTCTAGTGGCTCTGCTTCAGTGATAGCAAAGAGGAAGAAATAGATCGGAATTGATGGTGCATAAATGATTTTTACTCGCTCAGCCCTAACAACTGGAAAAACCTGAGCGGACTGCCGCAGCAGAACTGGTGCCCAGGACTGTGGGCCCAGTACAGAGCGGTGTGAGATTCCCAGCACAGATCGTTACTAATGACTCCGATGATTCTGGTGGTTTCTGGGGGCCAGTTTGGATCAATGTTTGGAAGAACAGGTAGGGAACACGGAGTCTTCGTTGGAATCGCAGGGCTGATTGCTTACTCCAGAAACAGTGAGGCAGATAACAGGCATTAACCTAACGAGTGAACGTTCAAGACCACCTGATTCCATAATTGCCTCTATAGACCTAATGCTGCCATTGTTAGGTTAAAAGGTTATCCAAATAACAAGGTTCAGAAAGAAGTTCGGTCCTTTATTTTGAAAATGTGCCTGACCACAGAGAATTTGTTTTAAATTTCTCTATTGATTAAGGTTCACATTTGTCCTCTTCCTCCCATTCCCATCCCAAACCCCTCCCCACGCATGGCCCCTCCTCCCCGCATTGTCAGGCTGATATGCATGCACACAAGTCCTTTGGTTGATCTCTCCCCCTTACCCCCACCCTCCCCTACCTTCCCTCTGAGGTTTGATGGTCTGATCAATGCTTCCCTGTCTCCGGGTCTGTTTTGGTTCATCAATTTATGTTGTGCATTATTTCCCCCAAATGAGTGAGATCATGTGCTACTAGAAGGACACTTACAAGAAATGAAAATGAAACAAGCAGTAGTGGTTATGCTGAGAGGCAAATGAATCAGTCTGTAGTGAGTTCCTTTCTGGGCCAACAGTTGTTTTGAGACCCCATTTCAATGCCAAACAGTTCCTCATGTGTCAGAATTGTTGACGTTAGTGTGGGTGCTTAACTTGAGAATAAGCATGTTTCTTCTAAGTAAATCCATCGTGCACTAATTTAAATATTGACATCGTTAGACTTGATAAATGTAAAATTGATCTTTGAAATGGGTGTTTACGTAAATGTCACGTGACGGCAGAAGCGCTCACGGTGGAGGCTCTGTGATGCCGAGGTGCGAGGTGCAGCATTTAGTCATGGCGGGCACTGCCTCACGCTGCGGATGAGGAAAGCCAGCGATGGGAGGCGATGCCTTGTCTGGACCCTGGGGATTCAGATGGTCCTCCACGGACAGGTTGTATCCTGGGCCTTGTAATTCAGGGCTTGGGCCTCTGCTTAAAAACAAGCTCGCAGTTTGGCACCATTGTCGATGGTTAATGTGAGCCAGGGCCTGAGAGCCCCATCTTAAGGAAAACGAAACAATAATTGAGCAATAGAATGAAGTCATTGTGTCTAGTCTCCTTGAAGGTCAGACTCTGAGAAGCCCCGTTGTTGGCAGGAGCTTGCTGGGATGTAGAGCAGGGGAAGTTAGGTTCGCTGTAGTGGCTCATGCTTTGCCAGTGGTCGGCAAACTCAGTTGTCAGCAGAGTCAAATGTCAACAGCACGACGATTGACATTTCTTTGGAGAGCCACATTTTTTACACTTAAACTTCTCCTAACACCACTTCTTCAACATAGACTCGCCCAGGCCGTGGTATTTTGTGGAAGAGCCACACTCAAGGGGCCAAAGAGTCGCATGTGGCTCGAGAGCCGCAGTTTGCCGACCACGGCTTTAGGCAAAGGACAAGCATGCTTGTGGAGCTCGCTTCTTGGGATATTGTTGACACCTGGCTGCTGCTTGCCTCCTCTTTCTTTTCTGAGCCTTGGCTGCTGACTTCCCTGGGGGGCAGGAGGGGAGGGGGGTTGGGGAGGGTTAATGGAGGCGAGGAAGGGGGGCATGGCCTTCATAGTAATACATATATTTGGGTAGTAGCCGGGTGTGGCCACGGAGCTGTGTAATAGCACTAATACTACACCAGTTATTTGCTGCAATGACTTTTTTTAGATTCAGAGTAAAGTTTTGCAATTTTCTTAAGGTATAAAACAGATTGTGGCATACATTAAGGAAAAATTGTTAAGAGGTGTTAACCTAACTAGTTAACGATTCAGACCAGTACAGGACATGAGTGGGAGGCTGTAAGTATCTGTAGGTTTTTGTTTTCTTTTTTAAAATATGATTTTACTAGAGGTCTGGTGCACAGAATTTCATGCCCTGGGGGTTGTCCTTCAGCCTGGCCTGCCCCCTCTCACAGTCTGGGACCCTTCACTCCTTACTAACACCACTGCCGAGCTCGCCAGCTGTGAGCCCAGCTTCTGGGTGAGCAGCCTCCCCCTGTGGGAGGGCACTGACCACCAGGGGCAGCTCCTGCGTTTAGTGTCATCCCCCTGGTGGTCAGTGTGCGTTATAGTGACCAGTCGTTCTGCCGTTTGGTTGATTTGCATATTAGGGTTTTATTGTATAGGATTGATTTCAGAGAGGAAGGGAGAGGGAGAAGGAAACACCAGTGATGAGAAAGAATCACTGATTGGCTGCCCCCTGCACATCTCCCACTGGGGATCTTCGAGCCCGCAACCCTGGCTCATGCCCCAACCATGAATCAAACCATAACTTCCTGGTTCATGGGTCGATGCTCAATCACTGAGCAACATTGGCTGGGCTTTTTTCAATCATAAGAAATGAAAACTAATGTTAGGATGGGTGGTTGCTAGGATAGATGGGAGGAGGGAAAATTAGTTAGAGGGTCTGGAAGGTTATTTACTTAATGTGGTGTGGAAACAAGGTAATGATGTCTTTGAGAGCGGAAAGAAGACAGAGTCAAATAATGTTTTGGAGATGATAGATAGGTAGGTAGATAGATAGGTAGATGATAGATAGGTAGGTAGATAGATAGATAGATAGATAGATAGATAGAGGTAAGGAAGCTGGGAAATGTGGGCTGAGGGAATGAGATGGAACTCCAACTGGACCTGAAAGGGTAGGAAAGTTTGAGGTGGGCAGCGCTAAGTGGGAACCCCTAGCCACAGGGAAATGAACAGCTTGAGCCATGCTGGTGGCCTGTTGAGAATCTCATGGGGTTGGAGCAGAAGTTTTGGGCAGAGTGAAGGTCAGCCAGGTGTGGAGAACATCTTGACTCTATTAAGAAAGCAAAGCAAAACAAGTCACTTCCAATACGGAGACTTTCAACCTCAGAAATGTAGAAGGAAGAGTATAATGAACCCCTGAATGCTCAACCTTGTTTCCGTTGCCCATTATTTCCCCCTCCAACAATCCCCTTCCTCTTCTCTCCATTCCTGAAGCGCATCTCAGACAATGTAGATCGGGCACTTTGACTAGCTTGGGTAACATTGAGGGTTTCTGAGCAGGTAAGGGACACGATCAAAAGAAATGGGAAGACATTCAGGTTTTATTAGGAAAGCAATGGAAAGGAGAAGAGGGAGGGCGGTTACCGAATCATTGATCTCGTTTTGTGTTATTTCGTTGAAGGTGTGCAGGATTTTTGTTTCAGAAAGTCGGGAAACTCGCAGCGACAGCAGTAGGCGGTGGCTTTCTCCTCCTCCAGGTATGTCAGAGCTTTATTCACTTGCCTCTGCTTACGGACTCAGCCCTCGGGAAATGAGAAAGCCAAGTTCAGTCATTTCACTCTGCCCATTTTAATAGAAGATGGAATTTTTCTTCCAGACATCAGTTTAAGGGAAAACTAAAATGAGTTTTGAAAGCAGCATCTGTCATGAAATACAACAAAGCAATACTTCGAAGTTTCTTTTAAACCCAATGCGATTCCAATTATTAAAAAGACAACTATTAAAATTCATGGCGTCTCCTTTATTTTAATTACTCACTCACATTCCCCCTGAAGCATCTCCCCAGCAAAAGAAACATTTTACCAATAATACAAACCTACTCATCCTGACCATTGGAAACGTGTGTTTCAAATTCATACTCATAATATTCAAAAGGTCTCCCTCCCTTTTCCCAGCCATTGGTTTTCTGTCCCAGAGGAAATAACTGTTAGCAATTTCTAATATGTTTTTTAAAACTAGGGAACCATAACAATATAGAAAGTGGAAAATCGGGTTTCAAAAATCATCCATCATCCTATTTCGGAGGCCTGTTGGTTTGAAATTACAGTTTTATTCATGTTCCTCTAAGGTTTTTTAAAAAAGTGTTTTGCCATTACAGGGTGTTTATCAGCATGCTCTCTGGGATCCGTGTCTGTTAGGCATATATCTTTCCAAAACTATCATTCCCTGAAGATCAGATAGAGTAAATCCTAAAAGTGAAAATCTCTGGGAATGAATGTGAGCAACAATCTTAAAGAGACAGAGGCCTGTCAGTAGTACTAGTTTTTAAAAAGATTGATGGGTACAGCAACCAAAATCTGACTTCAGCACCTAAGCCATTGTTGCCGGAAGTATAAACGGCTTGAATCCGGATGTGTTAAGTACGGATTTTGAGTTGTTTACCAAACATCTTTAAAAAATATTTTCTTCTTTCTGTCAGCAGCATTATTATGAGTAGTTGCCTCTTATTTGTGGTTAAGAGGCGGAAAGAGCCGAAGCCGGTGTGGCTCAGTGGTAGAGCGTCGGCCTGTGGACTGAAAGGTCCCAGGTTCGATTCCGGTCAAGGGCATGTACCTGGGTTGCGGGCACATCCCCAGTAGGGGGTGTGCAAGAGGCAGCTGATCGATGACTCTCTCTCATCAATGTTTCTAACTCTCTATCTCTCTCCCTTCCTCTCTGTGAAAAAGAAATAATAATAATAATAAAAAGGTGGAAAGAAACATGGTTAATATCTAAATGCAGTCCTTTGGATAATATGCCAGCACTTGTATAGAAGAGAATTTTATTTAAGGTGATTGTGACTTTGGTGTATATAAGTCAAGAATTAAGGTATCTAATTCTATAGCTCTTTCGTAAATCCCTTGTCATTTCTGTTCGGCGGAAAGTCATTTCTGTTCGCTGTACTGAAGCAGAGCTTCCTGAAATGTTTGTAGATGGAGGGGATTATACATGGCAGTTCACTCTGCGTGTCCGTTTTTCCAAAGTCCATTTCAGCCCACTCAGTACGCACCCCACACGTCCACCTTCTGCCTCTCTGGGCCTAGTCCACATATTCTTTGAAGCAGAAGAACATGGGACTGACCTGCATCAAACCAGTTTTCCCCACAAATGTGAGTCACCTTGAAAACTCAGTAGAAGGAACAAGGAGGAAATAACAGTAGCAAATGGCTTTTGGGCCAATTGGCTCCTATTCTTTATGCCCATTTCCATATTTTTGTTAACTTACATTTTCATTTAAATATTAGTTTACTTAGAGCCTAAAGCTTTTCTGGTAACTCAGGAATAAGTGCTTTCTGGTAAATATTACCACACTGCCATGTGAAAGTAGACAGTGGAATGTAAAACTTTTCAATGTGTTTGTTCAGGGTTTTATATGCCCATAATGCAAAAGGTCAAATACATGTACAAGGCATGTTACAGACTGGAATAGTACACTGCTTACTCACTATCCTGCCATTTTCTCTCCCCTTGAGGCAACTACTTTGAACTCAAGATATTTTTCCTTTTTTCCTAAACAAGTTAATTGGGCATTTTTTGATCTTTGAGTGTGAGGTATTACCTATTGGCTTCCCATTATGGAATATGAGAATTTAGCTATCATTTATTGAACCCTGTGTGCCCTTCCACCTCAGTCTCTCACACTTGCTCACCCCACCCCCATTCCCCCACATCATCTGAGTATTGTTCTTTAACTATGTTTGGGAAGGTTTGGGCCATTATTTCTTTAAACATTTACTCCTCTCCTATTTTTCTCCTGAACATGACTCCACTTATATATACATGTTGGGCTGTTTTATAACATCCTGAAGCTGTGTTCATTTATTTTTTTTTTAATCTATTTTTTGGTTGTATGATTTCTAGTGATGTAGCTTCAAGTTCATTGACTCTTTCCTGTCACCTGCTGTCTGCCATTAAACTTATTCAGTAAATTCATTTCAGATGTTGTATTTTCCAATTCTGGGACTTTCATTTGGTTCTTTTTATATTTCCTGTCTCTGGTGAGAGTTCTTTTAAAAAAAATCTTTTTATTTTTAGTGATTTCAGAGAGGGAGAAGGAGAGAGAGATAGAAACATCAATATCAATGATGAGAGAGAATCATTGATTGGCTGCCTCCTACATGCCCCGGACTGGGGATCAAGCCCATAACTCAGGCCTGTGTCCTGACTGGGAACTGAACCTTGACCTCCTGGTTCATAGGTCGATGCTCAACATTGAGCCACGCCGGCCAGACTGGTGAGAATTCTTTTCATTGATTACAAAGTATAGTTTCCTTTATCTAATTGAGCATAGTTATAACAGCCACTTTAAAGTCCTGATAATTCAGTATGTGGGTCATCTCAGTATTGGCATCTGTTGTTTTTCTACAGCGTTTTTCTGTTTTATGATATATCAAATAACTTCTTGGGAATTTATCCTGGGCATTGGGAATGCTATGTTGAGACTCTGGATGCTATTTTATTCCTCTGCAGCATAGTGATTTGATTTTAGCAGGCAGTTAATTTGATTAGACTCCAATTGCAAACTCTGCTACCAGAAGGGTAGCAGCTCAAAACCCAGTTTCTTTCTTTCTTTCTTTCTGCCTTAGCCAGAATGCTTGCCTCTGCCCCTTGAATGTGTAGCTCAGGACCTGGGTAGTTTACACAGAATTAGGAGCTCCCTTTCTCTAGCTCTCTCCTTTCTGGGAGCTGTTTCTGTCCTGGGCTCTGGCCTCTAGATCTCCAGGCTTGGAGAGATGACATATTTCCTATTGAAGTGTTTGCCATCCTGCAACTGCATCCCATCCTCGGGATAAAGCCAGAAAAATGGGCAACTCACCTCATATAGGTCACCCTTCCTACAAGTTTTTTTTTTTTTTAATTTATTGATTTTTTACAGAGAGGAAGAGAGAGGGATAGAGAGCTAGAAACATCGATGAGAGAGAATCATCGATCAGCTGCCTCTTGCGCACCCCCGAACTGGGGATGTGCCCGCAACCAAGGTACATGCCCTTGACCGGAATCGAACCCGGGACCTTTCAGTCCGCAGGCTGATGCTTTATCCACTGAGCCAAACCGGTTTTGGCTCTTCCTACAAGTTTTAATTCCCCTTCCAGGTCTGCTTGCTTTGGGTAATTCTGGAGCCCCTGTATTTTAACCAGGATTTATAGTTGCTCTTTTTTTTTTTAAATCCTCACCTGAGGATACTTTTTCCCATTGATTTTTTAGAGAGAGTGGAAGGGAGTGGAGAGACAGAGAGAGAAACATCCATGTGAGAGAGACACATCTATTGGTTGCCTCCCACATGCAGCACTGGGGGCTGGGGCTAGGGATGAGCCTTTGATCAGGAATTGTACCTGAGACCCTTCCAGTCTGCAGGCCGACACTCTAACCACTGAGCCACGCTGACTAGGGCTATAGCTGCTCTTTAGGGGAAAGTCCCAAAGGTTCATTATCACCTCCATCCAAACAGCTATGTCAACTTGAAGTCTGAATGTTCATATATTCCTGGCTAATAGATTTATTAGCAAACTGGTTGGTTTAGAATTACTCCCCCCCTTTTTTCCTTAAAAATACATTTTTTTTATTTTATTTTAGAAAGGAGAGGTAAAAGGAGAGGGAGAGAAATATCATCAGCTGCCTCCTGCACGCCCCCTCCTGGGGATTGAGCTGCAATCCTGGCATGTGCCCTGACTGGCAACCTCTTGGTGCATGGGACAACGCCCAACCAACTGAGCCACACTGGCCAGGGCAGGAATTAACCATTTTCATTACATTTTTGTAGATTGCTAGTCACAGTGGCTATGTGCAGGTCGACTGGAAGAAAGTTGAAAAAGGTGTGAACAAAGCAAAAAGACAGATTAAAAAACGAGCAAATAAGGCAGCACCTGAAATCAACAACATAATTGAAGAGGTAAGACCATACATTTTTGCCTCCCTTTTTTTTTAGTGGGTCTTCATTAGTAGAAAATGTCTATTCATGTAAAAAAAATTGGTATTTTTGCTTCTGGAGTATTAAGTAGAATTTTGGATCAAGCCACCATTTAAATAGTTAACGTAGTTTCCTCTGTTCATCTCCCCCCTACTTTGATCTACATGTAAAAGCTGGTAACATTATTCTTCCAGAATTTTTCCTCTGCTTTTACAAATGTGTACATGTATAGACAAGGTCTGGGAAAACTAAAATTACCTATCTTTTTCTTGAGGTCAAATAGTTTGAAAATGTGTGTATGTTATTAATATGTTAGTTTAATAATGTTTTCTTACACTTGTTTAGAATTGAATATGTCCTTGTCCTAGTTTTTGTTCTATACTTTTACTTCCAAGTTTTTATTTTGAAAAATTTCAAACCAGTTGAAAGTTAAAAGACAAATACAGTGAATACCCAAATACCTTTCATCTGTTCCCCAAATTGTCTTGCACCATTTGCTTTATCTCTGTGTGTGTATATATGTGTGTATGTGTGTGAGATTTACACTATTTTTGCTGAACTATTTGAGATGTCATGATTTTTCATTCTTTTAGCACACAGTTCCTAAGAGTACAGATATTCTGCATGACTACAGTTACCCTTATTATTCTCCCCAAATTTAACATGATCAATAGTATTTCCATATTACAGCATTTCCACAAAAATATTGTTTGTTTGTATTTCATTTGGTTGTTATGTATCTTAAGTCTCCTTTAATCTTTAACAGTCCCTGCCAGGGCTGACCACAGACTCTGAGCGATGGATGAACAGATTGCTTTGACACATTTCTGTGAAAGAGAGGGCTAAGGGGCTGTTTTGCTTTAGGAACAAAAGTCCTGTTCACCTGCCTATTAGCCTTTTATTGTCACAGCAGCTTGAACTCAAATTAACCTCTAGACACAATCAACAGGGCAAGTATCCTTGAGAAAGCACATGCTTCTACAAGGTCAGATCTTAAAGTTAAACAGAGAGATTCCAGCAAATTCCTCCTCACCCCCCCCCCCCCCCCGCAGGGAGGGGATCAGACTTGTTTGGAAAAGTCAGGGGCTGCTGCCTTTGGCAAGGTCCCCTCAGAGGCCCCGACCTTTTGGAGAATCCTCCTTACAGACATTCCCACCAAGTCCAAGCCCTCGGCTTCCCCACAAGCTCCCTCATCTTTTTAAAAAAATGTTTTGATTTTAGTGAGGAAGGGAAAGGGAGAGAGAAGCATTGATTGGTGTGTCAAAGAAATATCTATTGGCTGCCGCTGCACGCCTCCTACTGGGGCTTGAGCCTGCAACTGGGGCATGTGCCCCGACTGGGAATCGAACCTTGACCTCCTGGTTCATAGGTCGATATTCAACCCCTGAGCCACACTAGCTGGGCACCTGTTCTATAGGGAGATTTCTTTTTACCTGTGAGATTATTGCTAGGCTATAGCTTGGGGGCTTAGGACAGTGGCTGACACAGAATAGGCACTCAGTATCTATTCACATATTATCTCAGTAGCCAAGGAGCTTACTGGGCCTGGCTGGGGGGCTCTAGGCTCCTTCAGTTTGTAATGGACAGCCCTGGCATCCTGTGTGGTGGTTACACCTGCTCTAGTAGGTGCCCAAGAATTTTTGCTGAATATTATTAAATTGAGGAAAACATCTGAAAACGGTACTTAGCTCTGGATTCAATAGTAGTATTTTAAGACATTTGCATCTTTCTTTCTTTTTCTTATTGTGGTAAAGTAAATGTAACATAAGATGGGTCATTTTCACTGTTTTTAAATGCACAGTTCAATGGCAGTAGGTACATTCACACTTTTGTGCCACCGTTACCACTATCCATTTTGAGAAATTTTTCATCATCCCAAACAGACTCTAAGCATTGAGCAGTAACTCCCGCAATTAACGCCTGTCCCCGCCCTTGGTAACCAATCTCCGTTCTACTTTCTGTCTCAATGAATTGGACTAGCCATGTGAGTAGAGTCCCAGAACATTTGTCCTTTTTGTGTCTTTCTTGTTTCGCTTAACGTGATGTCTTTGAGGTTCCCCCATTTTGTAGCATAACTAAGAGCGTCTTTGTTTGAACTTGACGTTTCAGGCCACAGAATTCGTCAAACAGAACATCGTGATCTCCAGTGGATTTGTGGGAGGCTTTTTGCTGGGCCTTGCATCTTAAGGACACGAGTGTCCTGCCACAGCGGAGTCCCCTGTGAGAAAAGAATTCGTACTGATGAGGTGGTCTCTCAACGTCACACGCCGCAGGGTGACAAGAAACAACCTAGTTGGACAATTTCAAGTTCAAAAGTTAGCATATCGCCTTCTGAAGGCTGGCAAACTAGTATCTGCTGTAAAAGAATCTATATGGTACATATATATGGTATATGTGTACAATAGTATTCCTGATCCAAACATGGCTGTCGTTTATTTACACCAGATGTTCATTATGCTTAAGAGTAGTGCCAATAAATAAAAATCTGTATTATAGCTGCCACATTAGGGATGACTTTTTAAAAAAAAGATATGTCTGCAATAAACAACTGTAATGCCCTTTTTGTGGAAGGATTTAGAAATAGTAGAATTATTAAAGATATCAAACCAATTTCATACCAACTTTTTGGATTTTTTTTCCTGCAATTGTTAGTTTGATTATATAATTGTAGTAAATGATAATAAGGAAGGCTCTTCTAAGGAAATATTACATGTTTAAAGCTTTTTTTCTTTCTTTGATGTCTGTAGTTGTAATATAACTTTTTGTATAAAAGCTTCTAAATGTTTTCTATTTATCCTGGCAGCCTGAGCAGAAGTAATTATTATGAGGATACATACAGCTGGTTGACTGATTTATTATATTAACTTGGAGTGAACCTCTTTCCTCGGTTCTGAAAGTTCCAGTTATTATTTTGTCCTCTTCACAAAGTGGTAAAAATTACCTTCATATACTTAGTCGTACAGTATGAATTTCCTGTCTGAAGAACCGTGGTTTTCTATATAACTGTGAAATCGCAGCGTAAAGAGAACTGTGTCCTTCAGCTAGAGATGTAAGTGCTAAGGCTTTCAGACTTTTGCTAGCTTTGTGTTGGTTGCACCGCAGGCCATTGGACTCGATTCTCAGGGCCAATCACACTCCCTCCCAGGCTCCTTTGCCCAGAAAAGCTTTGTCTCGGTTTGTTTTGTCCACAGTGTTCTATGTGGGAATTGGGAGAAACCTCAGAACAATGTGTGCTGGAGTCCTCAGGTTGGAAAGATTGCAGCTATGTAGTCTGTCTCCTTTAAGTAGCCAGTCCCCGTAGTACATGCTGTGTATTGTGAAAATAAGGCATTTCATACGTTTGAATTGGGTACAATCCATGTGCTTTCATTATTGCAAGAGTCCTTAAAATTGAATGTGAGATTGATCTTCATGTTCTTTCTTTACTCTCATTAGTGCCTCAGATACAATGCTAAATAAAACTCAGAAGTGGTTTTGCTTATAAATGCTTGTTTTTTTCTTCTTTAAGCTTTTCTCTGCTTAATCCTCACCAAGCTTTTCATTGCTGTGAAATAAGAAAGGTAAAATACAGGGTGGGGCTGCCGAAACCGGTTTGGCTCAGTGGATAGAGCGTCAGCCTGCGAACTCAATGGTCCCAGGTTCGATTCCGGTCAAGGACATGTACCTTGATTGCGGGCATATCCCCAATGGGGGGTGGTGCAGGAGGCAGCTGGTTGATGTTTCTCTCTCATCGATGTTTCTGACTCTGTTCCTCTCCACTCCTTTCTATAAAAAAAAAAATCAATAAAATATATTAAAAAAATACAGGGTGGGGCAAAAGTAGGTTTACAGTTGTGAGTACATGAAACAGAGTTTATTCTTGCATTGTTATTTATTAAATTATTTTCCATGCAACAACTGTAAACCTACTTTTGCCCCACACTGTATTCTGCATTAGGTAGAACCTTGGCCGCGCTACTCTGCACCATACCTGTGTGATGTTTTCATCTGATCCAGTTGGGCAGACTACTGTGGGGAGTTCTAGTAGCTGATTCGATGTGCTCATTTTGGAAATTTTTATAGTGTCTGTTCTGTGTATGATATACTGGAAAGCGGGGGGGAGGAACATAAAAATGTCTGCCCTCAAATAAGAGACAAATATTTCTATATGGAAAGTTATATAATAACAGGGAATCCATGGTCAGTATGGCTCAGATGCTTGGGTGTTGTTTGCCAGTTCAATTCCCAGTCATATGCCTGGGTTGTAGCTCCATCTCCAGTGGGGGCGTCCAAGAGGCAGCCGATTGATGCTTCGCTGTCACATTAATGTTTCTATCTCCCCCTTCCTCTCCCTCTCTTTTCCTCTCTTAAAAAATATTTTAAAATACAATGTACATAGTTTAAGAAGTCAAATAGTATTTGACTACAAATAAGACTTCTAAAAAAGTACTTCTTTGCTCTACCTCTCTCCGACTTATGGCTTTTTCTCCACAGGAGTGTCAACCATATTGGTTGTTTCTCTTGGTATTAACTACAAGAGGATTATGTGTAGAACTCCAAAGTTTCCACTACAGTAAGTCTAAGCCAGAGCTACATGTGTAAAACAATAGTTATGTCCTCTTGGGAGTGGAAGGGCAATAAAATAAATGTAGAACTGAAATATTTGGAATTGTAACATGAAGTTCTTGCAATGTTCTAAAATATATTGATTAACCTCACATTGAAGTTGAGTATGTATGCATGCATGATAAAATTTTAAGAGCAATTCCCAAATGAATTGCTATTGGTTGTGAAAAGATACATTTCAAACACAATAAGAAATCCCATATAAATGAAGGCAGGAAAGAAGAAGCATAGAGAAAGCTGAGTAAATAGGAATTATAAAATAAAATAGTAAAAATAAATCTATATCAGTAATTACACTTCAAAAGGAGAAATGAACAGAATTCACTATGTGATTTTATAGCATCACTAGAAGTCCAGCAGATGAAATTCGTGCATGGGGGAGTGATGTCCCTCAGCCCAGCCTGCACCCTCTCCAATCTGGGACCCCTGTGGGATTGGGCCTAAACCAGCAGTTTGACATCCCTCTCACAATCCAGAACTGCTGGCTCCTAACCACTCATCTGCCTGATTGCCCCTAAGCACTCTGCCTGCCAGCCTGATAGCCCCCTAACTGCTCCCCTGCTGGCCTGATTGCCCCCAACTACCCTCACCTGCTGGCCCGATTGCCCCCTATTGCCCTCCCCTGCCAGTCTGATCGCTCCCCTACTGCCCTCCCCTGCAGGCTTGGTCGCCCCCAACTGCCCTCCCCTGCTGGCCTGATCACCCACAATTGCCCTCCCCTACCAGCCATATTGTGGCAGCCATCTTGTAATGATGTGAGGGCATTGTACAAGGGCACGAGGACCACGTAGGCTTTTATTAGGATAGATTCTATGTAGACTCAAGTAGTGGGATTAGAAGCATAGAAGAGGAAATGCTGATAATATGTTACAGTTCAGTGGAGAGTTTTCCAAGCCTTAAGATGCAATAAAGCCTCTTAATTTTCCTTCTAATCTTCCTTCTCACCCACAATCTAGGACAGACTCAGCACCCACTATTTCTTATATCATGTATTCTTCCTTGGATTACTTATATATTTGATTGAACTATTTTCTTGAGTACTCCTAGGTGTACTAGGAGGTAAATTTTCCAAGTTCTTGTATGCTTAAAATATAGGGTAGGGGAAAAGTAGGTTTACAGTTGTGAGTACACAATACAGAGTTTATTCTTGTTTACTGTTTATTGTACTTTCCATACGAACAACTGTAAGCCTACTTTTGGCTCACCCTGTATTTTTTCTTCAAGGTTGACAATATTATTCCCTTAGAATTTTGAAGGCATTATATTCTATATTCTATCTGATGTTGCATGATGCCAGTCTGATTTTTCAGTCTTTCTGGATAACCTTTCTTTTTTTCTTTGAAAAAGTGGTCATTTTTTTTTCTTTTATCTTGGAGTTTTGAAATTTTGTAAATTTGTCTCTGACCATGAGTTTTTAAAAACAAGCAGGTCAGGTGTTTGGTTGTCACCCAGGAGAGAGGATGCTACTGCCATCCAGTGGGTAGGAGGCCAGGGACACTTCTAAACACCTTGCAAGGCACAGAATGTCCCCACATCAAAGGATAGTCTCCAAAATGTCAGTAGTGCCAAGGTTGAGAAACCCTGGTATCAGCTGTTATTAATAATCCTGGCAGAGTGTATTAAGTTCCAATGCCCTCCACGAGAGAAAAGGAGGTTAATCCACAGTGAACACTCCCTTTAATATAATCCTACCACTAAAACCTCAGATCATAGCCTCATATGTAGCCTCCCATGGAGACCAGCACTGAAAGGACTCGCTCTCTAAATCTCAGATAATAGAATCATCAGAACCATAGGAAAAAAAATAAAAGAAAAATGCATGTTAGGAGCATACCATTCCCTTCCCTTCTTTCTTCACGGGCACATAACCCTAACCCAGTGTTTGGCAAACTGCGACTTGCAAGCCACATGTGGCTCTTTGGCCCCTTGAGTTTTTAGCACTGACCTCTGACCACCTTGAAGGATCATCTGTTACAGGGACTTTTCCCCCAGCTCTGACACCCTGTGCAGGGGAGCCTGGTGTGGGATGGGGGATCCCTTGCTCCTCAGGGGGGACCTCCACAACTGAGATAAACCTCCTGAATTTTATCTGCTACACATGGATGTGGGACCAGCCCATTCTGCATCTGCTCCTACCAGTCTGGATGTGGCTTCTTTACTTCTCTAATTGTAGGACTTCCATCCAGCTTGATTTCAGGAGGTTCTGGGAAATGGTTGTTCTGTAGTTTAGTTGTAGTTTTGATGTGGTTGTGGAAGAGGTGAACACCATGTTTACCTACATCGCCATTTTGGCCGGAAGTCCCAACTCCTCTGCCCCACCTATTTTTGTACTGACTTCTTAGGATATGGTATTGCCCATTCCTCCCTCAATATCATGAAAAGGGCTGCTCTAGGCTGAATGTGTCCCCCTAAAATTTATATGTTGAAATGTAATGCCCAAGGTGATGATGGTAGGAGATGGGACCTTTGGGAGGTGATTAGGTAATCCAGGCAGAGCCTACGTGAAGGGGATTAGTGTTCCTACAAAAGAGACCATGGAGAGCTCCAGAGCCCCTTCCCCCATGTGAAGATACACCAAGAAG